CCCTACTACCGCCTCTTCCCCTACCGCACTCCATCCCTCCCCCCGCCGCCGCTCTTCCTTGTACCAGGTCCCCCTCTGGTAGACCCCCTCCCCCCTCAGGGTCCGTCCCCTTCAGGTGTGTCCCAGGTAGACGCAGTCGAGCCTGTCGAGGTCACTGGTGACTCTGGTGCTGCTGAGGGTGCTGAGCATGGGGGTGCTGACTCTGGGGGTACTGAGCCTGGGGGTGCTGAGCCTGGGGGTGATGCGACTGGGGGTGCTGAGCCTGGGGGTGCTGAGCCTGGGGGTGCTGCAACTGGGGGTGCTGAGCCTGGGAGAGCTGAGCCTGGGGGTGCTGAGCCTAGGGGTGCTGAGTCTGAGGGTGCTGAGTCTGGGGGTGCTGAGCCTGGGGGTGCTGAGCCTGGGTGTGCTGAGCCTGGGGGTGCTCAGCTTGGAGGTGCTCCGCCTGGAGGTTCTCCGGGTGCTTCGTCTCTGCGGGAGCCACTCTCTCCACGGGAGCTGCGCGAGTGGTTTGCCCGGCGCTGGAGGCGTGCTGCTGGTGCTGGAGGTTCTTCGGCTACTGAGGGTGCTGCTGTCGCGGGTCCAGGAGGTGCTCGTACTGGGAGTACTGGAGCTGTTGGGCCTGCGGGTTTGACTGGAGCTGGTGCTGCTAAGGGTGTTGGAGCTGAGACTACTGCTGGCGGTCCTGCTGCGGGTACTCCTGGTACTGCTGGAGGTTCTGGCGCTGCTGGAGGTGCAGCTGGAGCGGGTGCTTCTGCTGGGGGTCCTGGTGCTGTACCTGCTGTGTCTGGCGTCGCCGCGCGGCCTCGACCGTACTTCGTTCCACTCCTGCAGCAGGTTCTTTGTCTTCCGCCTTCTACTGGTCCTCCTCCTTCTTTAGAGTGTCCACAGCCAGTCCCGTCACAGTTACAGTTGCAGCCTACCTCCCCTTTGCCTGCTCCTTCTCCCCACACTGGTCCTACTGGAGGTCATACTGAGCGTCGTAAGCCTGCGTCTCGCCCTGCGTCGCCTGTTCGTGCTGCTCGCGCTAGTGGTCGTGGTTCGCGTCAGCGTCCTCCTCCTGTCCCTGGCACGCACAGGATGTCTCTCCGTCCGTCCACTACTCCTCTGCGTGCCCCTTTGCCTTCTCCTCCTGAGTCCTCTCTTTCTGCTTTTGCCGACCCTGAGTCGGACTCTCTTCGTGCTGCCAGTCCTACTGTCACGCGTCTCCTGGCTACTGTCGTCACTGACCCTTCTTTCGAGTCCACTGCTGCGTCTGCCCTAGTTGCTGAGCTCGTCGACTTTGCTGCTCGCTGTCGCCTAGACTACGCTGCTAGTCTTGTCGCTGAGTCTAAGTCTGTCTGTCCTCCGTCCGTCGGGGGTGAGTTTGCCCTTGGCACGGACGTCCTTGAGGACAGGCAGGAGGAGTTCCAGTGCTTGGCCGCTGCTTCACCTCATCTCTTGTCCGTACTGCTTACCCCTGAGGGAGACCCGGATGCACTTGACATCCCGACTCCGCGCTCTTACGCGGAGGCGATAGAGGGTCCCTACTCTTCTCAGTGGCAGGCAGCTATGGATGCAGAGATGGCTTCCTAGAAGTCCACTGGCACCTACGTTGACGCTGTCCCACATCCTGGGGCGAACATCGTCAGTGGCATGTGGATCTTCAGGGTGAAGCGGCCGACGGGTTCTCCGCCTGTCTTCAAGGCGCGTTACGTGGCTCGTGGCTTCAGTCAGCGGCAGGGAGTTGACTATTTTCAGACCTTCTCTCCCACCCCAAAGATGACCACTCTTCGGGTACTGCTGCACGTTGCTGCTCACCGTGACTACGAGCTGCACTCTCTCGACTTCATCACAACTTTCTTGCAGGGCAGCCTGCACGAGGAGATCTGGCTGCATCGCCCACCTGGCTTCACTGGGTCTTTCCCTCTTGGTACCCAGTGGAGTCTCCGGCGTCCAGTCTACGGTCTTCGCCAGGCGCCACGTGAGTGGCACGACACACTGCGGACTACGCTTGCGGCTCTTGGGTTTGCTCCTTCTACTGCCGACCCGTCGCTGTTTCTGCGCACCGACACTTCTTCGCCGCCGTTCTACATCCTCGTGTACGTCGACGTCTTGGTCTTTGCCACTGCTGACACTGCTGGACTCGCCTACGTGAAGTCCGAGCTGCAGAAGAGACACACGTGCACAGACCTGGGTGAACTGCGCAGCTACCTTGGCTTGCAGATCACTCGGGACAGAGCACGCCGCACCATTACCCTGACTCAGTCACACATGGTGCAGCAGGTCCTTCAGCGCTTCGGCTTCACGTACTCCTCGCCTCAGGCCACTCCTCTGCCTACTCGCCACTCGCTCTCAGCTCTGCCTTCGGATGAGTCCGTAGAGTCGAGTGGCCCGTATCCAGAGCTTGTTGGCTGCCTCATGTACCTGATGACCTGCACACGACCTGATCTTGCATACCCTCTTAGCATTCTCGCACGCTATGTTGCTTCTGGGAGACACCGACCAGAGCACATGGCTGCAGCGAAGAGGGTGTTGCGCTACTTGTGCAGTACGTCGGGCATGGGGCTAGTGCTTGGAGGGCGGAGTCCAGTGGTCCTCACTGGGCACGCGGACGCTTCTTGGGCTGACGACCAGGCTACGCAGCGGTCGTCACAGGGTTACACCTTCAGCCTTGGTTCCGGCTCTGTTTCGTGGCGGGCTACTCGCTCGTCTTTTGTTCTCGGCTCCAGTTGTGAGGCTGAGATCTACGCTGGGGCCATGGCTGCACAGGAGCTTCGCTGGCTCACCTACCTACTGACCGACCTTGGAGAGTCGCCTCGTTCTCCTCCAGTCCTGTACGTAGACAACAAGGCCATGCTGGCCTTGTGTCGAGAGCAGAGACTGGAGCACAGAACGAAGCACATTGCTCTTCGCTACTTCCTTGCTCGTGAGCTACAGCAGCGTGGTTAGTTGCGGCTTGCGTACGTGGCCTCTGAGGCCAACACTGCTGATGTCTTCACCAAGGCACTTGCGCCTTTTGATCATCAGCGCTTCTGCATGCAGCTGGGTCTTGTGTCTGTCTTGCCTCACTTGCTCACCTCTTGACCTTGCTTGTACTGTTGCATATATATACACCTGCTCTTGCTTGTCTAGTCCTTTATATATATGTACTCCTGCAAGTGAAGTGGCCTTGTGGCCTTGAACTTGTGCTCTGAATGTGTGGTGACTTTGTGATCCACCCTGAGCTTGCTTTGCTTTGTTTTGCTTGACTGGTCTTGTGACTCCTTGTTCTCCCCCACTTTGCCTATGGGGGTGTGTCAGAACATATAGCTTGTGCTTATTGTGTAGGCTATAGTGGGGTAGCCCATAATGGGTACAACCCAATTAGGGTTAGTACTTGTACTCAGTTCATTCATAGTTCATTCATTCTCGTTTCTTCTCAATCTGGTACGGAACGATGTCTTGTGGATCGAGTTGTCCGCCATCTTGATCTGCCAGTATCCTGGAAGTTGGTCTAGTAGGTCGTCTATGCGCGGTATGGGGTATTTGTTTTTGGGTTGCATAGCAACCTTATACATTCGTTTTCACTTTTCGGTTGGCTGACGTGAAAAGTGAATTTCTCCCATCAATTTTGAAAGAAATCACTGTTCACCAACTTCCGGAAAAATGAAAACAAATGTTTCCAATCATTCCAAAATCGTCGATAAGTACGGCGAATGGAACAATTGGACAATCTTTCTAGCACTAATGACGATACCAAATGACACACGAACACAAGGACAGAACCACCGAAAGACACACATACACAAATGGTCACAAAAGCAGCCGGGTACAAGAACCGTCGTACATGTTTTGGGGGGAATGCAAAATGCATCGATGCAGCAATTGAGGTTGATATGGTACGGAAGAGGCGAGCAAAGCTGCCCCACCGACGATCACAATCTCAGTTGCATACAGGAGGCACTCGCACACTCCCAAAACAAGCACATGCGATAACACACACAAACTGGTACAGAAACAGATAACGATTGAGAATGTTTCAACGCGAATACTAAATGCATCAATGCTGCAACTAAGATTGATATGGTACGGAAGAGGCTAGCAAAGCTGCCCCACCGACGATCACAATCCGAGTTGCATTCACGAGGCACTTAGCACCACACCTTGAAACACACACAACACATGTGCACATGTACGCACTCAAACATACAGGCTCACACATACGGTACACAACGACACACACGCAAAAACATACAGCTACGGTAATAAGCATGCAAGCATAATGAATGGAGTTCAGCCTTGTATAAATCATCACTAGCTTGTCCCCCATTCCCCCCCCTCCCTCCCTCCCTCCCTCCCTCCCTCACTCCCTCACTCCCTCCCTCCCTCCCTCCCTCATTCATTTCCCTTATGTTCTCCCTTCTCCCAATCCCTTTTGTCCACAAGAAACAAGGGCTGCAGCTTGAACTTCCTGCGCACGAAAGAAGAAACAGCAAATGCAACTCACTCCCTGCACAAACAAAAACGAAAACTTGCATGAGTTGCACAAGAAATCAAAATCAGCGAGTGCAGTTTCCTTGACGCACAAGAAACAAATTTACGCTCGCACTCACTCTTGCCGCAACTCACCGACACTAAAATACGTTCAACAGCTCTTAGACACACTCACTGAAAACACACACAAACCCTCGCACTCACCCTCGGGCTCGCGCTCACTCCGAACACCCCCACACACACAGCGCGTGCACCCTCAAACTGAAGGCGCACTCACTCACACCCGCACTCACGCTCACAGTTTCCCTCGCACTCACACCCACACGCATGCTTACACTTGAACTTGCACTCACAAACGCACTCACGCTTGCATTCGCCCTCGCCATCACACCCGCACTCACGTTCGCATTCGCCTGTATTTCTTTAAAACTCGACCAACCCCTGCCCTCTCCTTCTCTCTCTATCTATCTTTCTCTTCCCTCGCTCCTCACTCGCTCTCTTCCTCTCTCTCTCTCCCCATCTCCTATCTTCTATTCCTCTAAAATTTCTCACTCACCTGTGCCTACGATGCTCGCACACCGCGTTGCTGCTCCCCCGCCGATAAAAGGAGCCCTCGTATGTTAAATCCCTGAGGGGAGGGTGTGGGGAACGGGCGGGGGAGGGGAGGGTGAAAGTTATCAGCATACGCGCCTGACATCAGAAAACGCAGGGCATACGCAAAGGCGCCAGCGCCGGCGCCCAGCAGAGGCACCAGCGCCAGCGCCAGCGCCCAGCAGAGGCGCCAGCGCCAGCGCGCAAAGGCACCAGCGCCAGCGCGCAAAGGCGCCAGCGCCAGCGCCCAGCAGAGGCGCCAGCGCCAGCGCGCAAAGGCACCAGCGCCAGCGCGCATTGGCGCCAGCGCGCATGGCGCCAGCTCGTTACGCGCCAACGCGCATGGCGCCAGCGCACACTGCGTCAGCGCGTTAGGCGCCAGCGCACACGGCGCCAGCGCGTATGGCGCCAGCGCGTTAGGCGCCAGCGCGCATGACGCCAGCGCGCAAGGCGCCAGCGCGCACGGCGCCAGCGCGTTAGGCGCCAGCGCACACGGCGCCAGCGCGCTACGCGCCAGCGCGTTAGGCGCCAACGCGCATGGCGCCAGCGCGCATGGCGCCAGCGCGTTAGGCGCCTACGCGATGCAGAAAGGCGCTAGCGCGCTGCTAGCACGGCGCCCGCGTAGCAGCGCGCTGGCGGCTTGCGCGTTAGGTGCCGGCGCGTTGCAGAAAGGCGCCAGCGTGTTGCCGCATCATGCGCCAGCGCGCTGACGCAGCAAGGTGCCGATGCGCAAGCCACAAGCGCGTTGCTGCAGCAAGGCACCCGCGCGCAGCAAGGCATCAGCACGCAAGCTGCCAGCGCGCTGCCATAGCAGGGGGGATATCACTAATGTACTCACGAACGTGCCGTTTATCACGGGGGCTTGTAACGGTTGCTTGTCATGGGCGTATATCACGTGCGCCGGGCGTTTGTCACGGCGCAAGGCGATTTCCTGCAGTGGTGGCGAGTGCTTGTGAAGAGCTGAGGTACTACCTGTATCGTGAAATGGCAAGTCTCTTCACCTGCTGGAATGAGCTGCAGTGGTTTCTTGGGATGTGTTGGGGTTTGGTATCGAGCTGTTTGCACGTGTGAGCACGTGAAATTCAAGTGACTCAGCTCCAGAATATGACTAAAGCAAGAACTGAGACCCCTGTTCTCTACAATTCTACAGGTGTAGAATCACTTATCACACTATAAGTAGTTGCACTAAATTAGTATCTTATGGTTATTACAACTATTAGATTATTATTGTTACTATCATACAATGTGTATATATTAAACATGTAAAGCTCAAAAATTTTATTTTAAAAACATTATTCGTAAAATGCGGACCAAAATGCATTATGTATGAGAACAAACAATTGTAGATGGGGAAATGACACATGAACATTAGTCACATCTTTGGCCGGTGTCATGTCTACATCGAGTGTTTAGCACCTACGCAACCCATACGACGTTGAACGTCGAGTCTTGTTTAATGTCTGTTAGTTCAAAGCGAGGCAATCACACATCAAATTCTGTACGTTTTTCCGATCCGTTCAGATTGAAACGAAGGAAAAAGGACCCGCCCTCATAACCCGCAGATCCGTGCCGATCACTTGGTTACGAGTCAAACTGTTGTCGCCACACCGCCATCGTTCGCGAATAAGCTCACCCATCAGTCCCTCGCGTCACACACCATCCTTGCATTTTCGAGTCGAGCCCTCTCTCGACCCAAGTTCCTCGCTAGTTTCCTCTTCTCATTTGACTCGCCGGCCTGTTGAGCTAGTTTGGTGGGGTCAGGTGGGGTAGGTAAAGCAGGCCGTGCCGTCCGTCTATCCAGTGCTTGCTTCAACAAGCGGTATTTGGAGAAAAGGGAGGCAACGGACTTCAGAACTCCGTGCTTGTCGAACTTGACGCTCGCGCGTCCTAATTTAGGCCGTAATGGTTAGTTGCTAACCTTATCCAGACCGTCCGTGCGTGATTCCTTTATTTTGTTTTCTTTTTTCCTAATGCTGATCTTGACTCTAGCGGCAAGTTCGCCGGTTTTGATTTTTTATTCTCATTGGTTACTTTCCAACCCTAATTTACTACTCCGCCTAGGACCCCTTGCGATTTCATCTGTCTCTGTATCTGTTTGTACCTCGTCTTCTCTCGTTTCTCTCGATCCCCTCGTTTGTCGCAGGGTCGGAAGTTTCTGTGCATTCTGCTGATCGCGATTCTTGTCGCGGCCAGTTTCCACGTGTCTGAATGCAAGAAGAAGAAGAAAAAGCGGACAGTAGCGACGGAACCAGCACTTGACGAAAGCGAAACCACCACAGTGGTAACCCGATCTGCAACGAAAACGGCAGCAGCAGGCGAAACAGCGTCGCAGAATGACGAACCAGCTGCGGACGCGGCAGCAGCCGACGAAGACGCAGACGCCGACGCGCCTTCGGAAACTATTCCCCCGAGGAAGCCGGCAGCCACTATAACGCCGGCTACTAAGGCGGCGGCTGCTACGGCGGCAGATGCGGAGGAAGATGCGGAAGTAGCGGAAGCCGCTTCGACAGCTGATGCTGACGTGGCGACGAAGGGCGACGACGCCGATGGCGACGCGGCTGAGGCTGACGCCGCCGCAGATGCCGCCGAGCCGGACGCCGCGGATGCCGCTGCGGAAGACGGCGCAGCGGCAAAGGCGGCGACAGGCAAGCCAGTCGCGGCGGACGACGATGCCGCTGCAGCTGATGCGGAAGGCACGGAAGAGGCGGAAGGCGCTGCGGCTGGTGGGACCACAGACGACGCGGCTGCGGGTGGTACTGCGACTGCAGCAGCGGCGGCGACGGCGGCGGCGGCGGAGAAGCCGAGTTCGGCTCCTGGGTCCGTGTCCGATGCTGGCCCTCTTGCATGGAAATCCGCTAATATGTCGCGCGACGACATTGATCCCAAAGGTGAGACGACGAGTTTTGAGACGTCCCAAACTGGGCTGCTCGCATGGGAATTCGCATCGCCAGCAGCATGTTGCGAAAGAGACATGGACCTCAAATGTGAGTCGGGCTGCTCGAATGGGACTTCGGCAACATGTCGTGAGACGACGTGGATCCCAGAGGTGAGGACGTGGATCCCAGAGACGAGACGACTAGATTAGAGACGTGCGAGAACTGGATCCCCCAACAGGTTGCGCGACGACGTGGATCCCAAAGGTGGGCCCCTGCTGACCGTAAAGCGATTGGGGGGTTACGCATTTGACTTGGCTGGTTGCTGTGGGCGGGTATCCATGCAGTGGGGCCAGACAGAACAAGAAGTTGCCAGCACGAAGCAAAAACGCTTTAATTGCCACCACTTCGCCATGGCAAACACGAATGGCATTCGATAATTACATCCAACACCCACATGGATACTACACCCCGCTCCCCCTTCCAGGCCCATGTGGGCGCGACTCCAAGTTCCGCTGCCTGCCAGGGCATGGGTCCGGGGAACGCGGGCTGGGTTTGCTGTGCTTGTTAGTTGCGTCATGGCACTACCCTCTACGTGGTTATTCAATCCCCTCTACGTGGTTATTCAATCCCCTCTACGTGGTTATTCAATCCCCTCTACGTGGTTATTCAATCCCCTCTACGTGGTTATTCAATCCCCTCTACGTGGTTATTCAATCCCCTCTACGTGGTTATTCAATCCCCTCTACGTGGTTATTCAATCCCCTCTACGTGGTTATTCAATCCCCTCTACGTGGTTATTCAATCCCCTCTACGTGGTTATTCAATCCCCTCTACGTGGTTATTCAATCCCCTCTACGTGGTTATTCAATCCCCTCTACGTGGTTATTCAATCCCCTCTACGTGGTTATTCAATCCCCTCTACGTGGTTATTCAATACCCTCTACGTGGTTATTCAATCCCCTCTACGTGGTTATTCAATACCCTCTACGTGGTTATTCAATCCCCTCTACGTGGTTATTCAATACCCTCTACGTGGTTATTCAATCCCCTCTACGTGGTCATTCAATCCCCTCTACGTGGTTATTCAATCCCCTCTACGTGGTTATTCAATCCCCTCTACGTGGTTATTCAATCCCCTCTACGTGGTTATTCAATCCCCTCTACGTGGTTATTCAATCCCCTCTACGTGGTTATTCAATCCCCTCTACGTGGTTATTCAATACCCTCTACGTGGTTATTCAATCCCCTCTACGTGGTTATTCAATACCCTCTACGTGGTTATTCAATCCCCTCTACGTGGTTATTCAATCCCCTCTACGTGGTTATTCAATACCCTCTACGTGGTTATTCAATACCCTCTACGTGGTTATTCAATACCCTCTACGTGGTTATGCAATCCCCTCTACGTGGTTATTCAATACTCTCTATGTGGTTATTCAATCCCCTCTACGTGGTTATTCAATCCCCTCTACGTGGTTATTCAATCCCCTCTACGTGGTTATTCAATACCCTCTACGTGGTTATTCAATCCCCTCTACGTGGTTATTCAATACCCTCTACGTGGTTATTCAATCCCCTCTACGTGGTTATTCAATACCCTCTACGTGGTTATTCAATACCCTCTACGTGGTTATTCAATACCCTCTACGTGGTTATTCAATCCCCTCTACGTGGTTATTCAAAACCCTCTACGTGGTTATTCAATACCCTCTACGTGGTTATTCAATCCCCTCTACGTGGTTATTCAATCCCCTCTACGTGGTTATTCAATACCCTCTACGTGGTTATTCAATACCCTCTACGTGGTTATTCAATACCCTCTACGTGGTTATGCAATCCCCTCTACGTGGTTATTCAATACCCTCTACGTGGTTATTCAATCCCCTCTACGTGGTTATTCAATCCCCTCTACGTGGTTATTCAATCCCCTCTACGTGGTTATTCAATACCCTCTACGTGGTTATTCAATCCCCTCTACGTGGTTATTCAATACCCTCTACGTGGTTATTCAATCCCCTCTACGTGGTTATTCAATCCCCTCTACGTGGTTATTCAATACCCTCTACGTGGTTATTCAATCCCCTCTACGTGGTTATTCAATCCCCTCTACGTGGTTATTCAATACCCTCTACGTGGTTATTCAATCCCCTCTACGTGGTTATTCAATACCCTCTACGTGGTTATTCAATCCCCTCTACATGGTTATTCAATCCCCTCTACGTGGTTATTCAATCCCCTCTACGTGGTTATTCAATCCCCTCTACGTGGTTATTCAATACCCTCTACGTGGTTATTCAATCCCCTCTACGTGGTTATTCAATACCCTCTACGTGGTTATTCAATCCCCTCTACGTGGTTATTCAATACCCTCTACGTGGTTATTCAATCCCCTCTACGTGGTTATTCAATACCCTCTACGTGGTTATTCAATCCCCTCTACGTGGTTATTCAATCCCCTCTACGTGGTTATTCAATCCCCTCTACGTGGTTATTCAATACCCTCTACGTGGTTATTCAATACCCTCTACGTGGTTATTCAATCCCCTCTACGTGGTTATTCAATCCCCTCTACGTGGTTATTCAATACCCTCTACGTGGTTATTCAATCCCCTCTACGTGGTTATTCAATACCCTCTACGTGGTTATTCAATCCCCTCTACATGGTTATTCAATCCCCTCTACGTGGTTATTCAATCCCCTCTACGTGGTTATTCAATCCCCTCTACGTGGTTATTCAATCCCCTCTACGTGGTTATTCAATCCCCTCTACGTGGTTATTCAATCCCCTCTACATGGTTATTCAATCCCCTCTACGTGGTTATTCAATCCCCTCTACGTGGTTATTCAATACCCTCTACGTGGTTATTCAATCCCCTCTACGTGGTTACTCAATACCCTCTACGTGGTTATTCAATACCCTCTACGTGGTTATTCAATCCCCTCTACGTGGTTATTCAATCCCCTCTACGTGGTTATTCAATACCCTCTACGTGGTTATTCAATCCCCTCTACGTGGTTATTCAATACCCTCTACGTGGTTTCCCCTCTCCCCGCCAGGCCCGTGTCGCCGCGACATCAAGCTGCACTGCCAGGGCGTGGAGCCGGGCAACGCGGTGCTGTCGCTGTGCCTCACCTTCCACGTCAAGAATGAGAAGTCGGGCAACGAGCTCGGGGGTGAGTGAGCGCGTGTCAGTAAGCTGGGGGGTGAGTTGAGGGAAGGGAACCAACTGGTGACAGTTTCTGGTCTGATCGTTTTGTCATGTCATCCGTCTCGTCTCTGCCCACCTCCCTTCCACACAACCTGCTTTGTTTGTGTGTGCCGGCTCCTGTCTGCATCTGCATATCCGTGTGCCCGCATGTGCATGTGCATGAGCATGAGCATGAGCATGAGCATGAGCATGTGCATGAGCATGAGCATGAGCATGAGCATGAGCATGTGCATGAGCATGAGCATGAGCATGAGCATGAGCATGAGCATGAGCATGAGCATGAGCATGAGCATGAGCATGAGCATGTGCATGAGCATGAGCATGAGCATGAGCATGAGCATGTGCATGAGCATGAGCATGAGCATGAGCATGAGCATGCTGCTGCGTCACCCATGCAACCCTTGGGTTCCATATTCTGACTTTAATCATTGGTTGCTTGCCCGACGCGGTCATGTCATCTGTGCTGCTGCTGCTGCTGTGGTGCCGTGGCATGGCAGGCCCCAAGGTATCCAAGAAGTGCAAGAAGGACGTGCGCGCGTTCAGGGCGGAGATGTACAAGGACCTCAGCATGGACAAGGCATTGGGTGAGTGCTTCCCTTGCTTTGTTGCATAACAAGGCGTGCTTGCTTGTATCGGTTTACCTCAGCATGGACAAGGTGCTCGGTGAGTGCTTCCCATGCTTTGTGAAACACGGCCGGCCAGATTGTATCGTAGTATTGGCTTTTGTCTTTATTTGCGCTCAGGGCCGAGATGTACAAGACAAGGGTCTCAGCTCAGATTCTCAGCAGGGACAAGGCGCTGGGTGAGTGCTCATTGCTCCTCATGCTTTGCTGCAGAACAAGGCTTGCTTGTATCGGTTCCCATTCTATCGTGTTCAGGGCCGGCCGAGGTGTGCAAGGATCTCAGCATGGACGAGGAGTTGGGGGAGTGCTTTCATGTTGTGTGTAGAACAAGGCGTGCTTATATCGCGTCACGTCCAGGCTCAAGATGCACAAGGACACCAGCATGGACAAGGGGCGCTGGATGAGTGCTTCTTCTTCTTTGTGGAACAAGCCAGCCTAGCTGCCATCGGCTGTCGTCTTAACCTTGTCCTTCCGTTTCTCTCCTGATCTGTTTGTCTGTCTGTCTGCCTGCCTGTCTGCCTGTCTGCCTGTCTGCCTGTCTGCCTGTCTGCCTGCTTGCCTGCCTGCCTGCCTGCCTGCCTGCCTGCCTGCCTGCCTGCCTGCCTGCCTGCCTGCCTGCCTGCCTGCCTGCCTGCCTGCCGGCCTGCCTGCCTGCCTGCCTGCCTGCCTGCCTGCCTGCCTGCCTGCCTGCCTGCCTGCCTGTCTGTCTGTCTGTCTTTTTGCCTTCCCTGGTGGTTGCCCGCGCTGTGTGCGTGCGTGTGTGCGTGCGTGTGTGTGTGCATGTGCGATTCTCTCTGCACTGCACGCACATGGCATGGCATGGGAGCAGCAACGGCATGCAAGGCGGACATCACCAAGTTCTGTGACGACGACTTCCTCTACCCCGAGCCCGGCAACGTCGTTGCCTGCCTCAGGTGCGCCTCTCCTCTCCTCTCCTCTCCGCTCCTCTCCATTCATTGGATACCCATGTCCCAGTTTGCTTTGAGTCGTCGCAGAGCGGGCAGTACCCACTCGGGCGGTTTTGTGACAAGTTCTGTGATGATGCCATGACTTGCTCTCTACCAAGGGCCCGGCAGCGTTGTGTTGTGACCGACACGAGTCGGGCAGAGGTGCTGTAATGCTCTAAACCCTCCCCTCGCCTCCCTTCCCCCACACTCCCCTCGCCTCCCTCCCTCCTTCCACCTTCCCCTCCCATTCCCCCCACACTGCCCCCACTCCCCTCCCCCAGGCCAGGGAGGTGAACCAGATGGAGAAGCTGGCAGACGATTGCCGGGCGGAGGTGCTGCGATATTCCCAACCCAACGTCTTCAACCTTTCTCTCCCACCAACCCACCCACTTAACCCATCCTCTTCTTCCCCCCATTCCCCCCTCCACGCTCCCCCCTCCCAGGGAGGTGAACCAGGTGGAGAAGCTGGCGGACGAGTGCCGGGCGGAGGTGCTGAGGGCGCAGCTGGAGGCGGCGGAGGATTTCAAGATGGACCCGCAGCTCAACCAGCTCTGCTCCGCCGAGGCTGACCGCCTCTGCAAGGGCGTCGAGCCGGGGGAAGGGCGCGTTCAGGAGTGCCTGGTGGGTGCCTTGTGCTTATGGGAGGGCTTGATGGGTTGGTGGTGCTTGGTTTGGTGGATTGGTGGTGCTTGGTGGTTTGCTGGTGCTTGGTGGGTTGGTGGCGCTTGGTGGGTTGCTGGTGCTTGGTTTGGTGGGTTGGTGGTGTTTGGTGGGTTGGTGGCGCTTGGTGGGTTGCTGGTGTTTGGTTTGGTGGGTTGGTGGCGCTTGGTGGGTTGCTGGTGCTTGGTTTGGTGGGTTGGTGGTGCTTGGTGGGTTGGTGGCGCTTGGTTTGGTGGGTTGGTGGTGCTTGGTGGGTTGGTGGCGCTTGGTTTGGTGGGTTGGTGGTGCTTGGTGGGTTGGTGGCGCTTTGGAGAGTGCCTGGTGGGAGGGAGGATGGTGCGTGCTGAGTGGCTGGCGCATGTGATTAGAGTATTTTCGCCACCTCAGTAGCGTGCTATCAAACTCAGCAATGCACGTTCCTTCTCTCACTCCTCTTCTTTCCCCCGCTCTTACCACCTTCTCTCCCCTCGCCCCCCCCAACCCTTCCCGACCCTCCGGCCCTCTCTGCACTTTCCAAGCAACTCATCAACCTGCCCTGATCTGCCAGGCAGATAAATTTCTTAGTCAAAAGTCACCTCATCCCGCCCTTCCCCCGCACCCTCCTCCCGCCCCCTTCCCACACTGAATGCGCCCTCGCCCTGCTCTGCTAGGCGGGTCAATTTCTTAATCGTAAAAAAAAACACCTCTTCCTGCCCTCCTCCCACCCCCCACTCCTCCCACCCCCCACTCCTCCCGCCCCCCTCCAACCCTCTTCCCACCCTCCTACCGCCCTCCCTGCCTCCTCCCGCCCTCCTCCCGCCCTCCTCCCCTCCTCCCCGCCCTCGCCTCTCCCCTCTACCCCCTCCCGCTCCCCCCACTCACCGCAGAGAGAGCACCGAGCGCAGCTGGCGTGGGACTGTCAGGCGGAGCTGTTTCGGCAGGAGGTGGAGAACGCGGGGGACATCCGCCTCAACGTGCGCCTCTTCCAGGCGTGCCTCAACGACCAGCGCCGCTTCTGTGCCGACGTCAAGTACGGCGATGCGCGCGTCAAAGACTGCCTGGAGGACCACCGCCTCGACCCCGACTTCTCGCCCTCGTGGTCAGTGCCTGCCTGCCATTGCTTTGAACATGTGCCAAAACGTGACCTTGCTGCTGCATCACCTCTCTTTACCCCTCCCACATCCCCCCCACCCCCCACCCGTTCCCCCCCCTCCTCCCCTTTCCCCTTTCCTGCATTTCTCCACGAAGCTTGTGTTTCCTTCTGCTATCTCCATGCTACCCCCACCGTCCTCCCATCTCTTCTTCCACGCCCATGGTTGGTCGCAACAAGTCGGTGATTGAGAAACGGTTGGCGAGGCGGGCCACTGATTTCTTTCTGTGCTATTCCCGGGTTTAAACCTCCCTCTCTCTAACCGCCCCTCTTGCCAACCGTCCCTCTCCTTCTCCCCTCTCGCCCTCCCCCTTTTTGCCCCCCCGTGTGCTGGCTGGCAGCAAGACGGAGTTTGATCAGATGATGGCGCGGCGCGCCACTGACTTCCGCCTCGACGCAAATCTGCGCAAATACTGCAAGGGGGACATTGCAGAGGTGAGTGAGGGGGATATTGCGGAGGTGAGGGGGATATTGCGGAGGTGAGGGGGATATTGCGGAGGTGAGGGGGACATTGCGGAGGTGAGGAGAGTGGAAGGGAAAGCACCCGAAGACTGCTTGCCGCTGCTTACGGACAGGGAGCGATTTGGACGACTCACTCTCTCTCCTTTCTCCCCACTCGCCTCTCTCCCGTCACACCTTTCCCCTCGTCCATCGTCCTTTCCCCTTCCCTCCTCTTCCCTGCCCCTCACTCCCTTGTCCCCCGCCCCATCTCCCCTTCGGTCCTCGCCCGTCGCCCCTTAACTCAACCCTCGCCCCCTCCCCCCATCGCCCTATTGCCCCCTCACCCCCTCCCCCCATCGCTCCCTCACCCCCTCCACCCATCGCCCCCTCCCTCCATCGCCCCTCCCTCCATCGCCCCCTCTCCCCCTCCCCCCGTCGCCCCCTCCCCCCATCGCCCCCGCTCCCCATCGCCCCCTCCCCCCGTCGCCCCCTCGCCCCTCAACCCTCGCCCGTCCACCCCTGCTGCCCTTCCTCTCCTCACAGATCTGCTACCCAGACGCGGAGGACATATCGGACGTGGCGAATTTCGATGCCAAGGTGATCGAGTGTCTGCAGGACTACCGGGAGGAGCTCAAGGACCCCAAGTGCAAGGCCGCCGTGCACCGCCTCACCGCCCGCGCTGCTGAGAGCATCCGCTTTGATCGGCCCCTGGCTGACGCCTGTCACGGTGAGTGCTGCTAGTGCTGCTAGGCCTGCTAGGCCTGCTACAGTAGGTGAGTGGTGGTGTGGTGGGGGACTGACTGACTGCAGGGACGAGCTCAAAGTCCTTCTTTGACGTACAGGTGAGGGAGCGCGTTTTGTTGTTGTGAGGTGTGGGACAGGAGGGAGGATCCTTGTCCGGTGCTGCGATGTAGGTCTGACCCTGACCTGACATAGTGAGTGAGAGTGCTGGCTGGTGTGGTGAATGGTGGTGAGTGGACGAGCTCAAGAACCCCAAGTGCACTGAGACGTCTCAACACACTACTTTGATCAAGTGCAAGGCTGCTGTGCTGTGCACCGCCTCACCGAGCTCGCTGCTGAGAGCATCCGCTCTGACCACCTGCTGGCAGACGACCTGCCACGGTGGGTGCAGCAATGCAAGGCCTCCTGCCCTGGCAGGTGCCTGCTATGCTGAGTGCTCTGCTCTGGTGTGGCAGTTGCTCAAGTAAACCAACCTGTTCCATTTTCCTTACGCTCACCTCCCCTCCCCTGCAGAGCTTAGTGGGAATACACGCGAATCGTATATACGCTAACGTATATTCACTAAACGCTTAAGGGTCGATTTGGTTACGCTTTTTCGGGCAGGTGAAAAATTATCTCGGGCAGTGTGAAAAAACGTCGTGCTCAACATTGGGAAGGTGTTCCCTATTCTCACTAAGACTTTCGTAGCATTTCCCTGAGTCTGAACGGCGATTGGGGTGGGATGTGGAGTAGACACTAGAAGGAGAAGTAGGTAGGAATCGGAAGAAGCTCTGCTGTTAGGAAGCGGGAACGTCAACTAGAAATGACGACTGGAATTTTGCTGGCTGTTAAGTAACGTGAGTGGGGTTTGGTGGGGGACATTTTTGACAGGTTGGAGTTCGTTGATAAGATGGGTTTCAATGCGGTACTAATCTAATTTTCAAATTTGAACTGCCTGCAATCTTCGAAGGCACATTCGCGCTTCCCTAAACCATCGAAATGCATTTCGACTTTGGCGAAATGCTCAGCAGAACATTCCGCATCTTTCTGTATACAAGCGATTTTTTACTCGGGCAGCCCGAAAAACTTTCTGATAGCGTATAGCGTATTAGCTAGCGTATCGCGTTTTGCGTACACACGCTAGCGTATATACGCTATACGCTTTAGGGTTTGAGCGTATATTCCCACTAAGCTGTAGAGGACCGCACGACCATGTGCCGGGGTGTGCGAGCTTGCCGCAGGTGTTTCTGTGTCTGCAGCACGGGCTGATTTTTTTCCTTCCTTTCCACAAATCCTCCCCTCCTCCTCCCCCCCACCGTAACGCTGCCCTTCTTACCGTCCTCCCCCTCCCCCCTCGTTCCCGCTCTCTCCCTGCTCTGCAGAGGACCGGACGACCATCTGCCGGGATGTGCCGGACGGCATGGCGCAGGTGTTTCTGTGTCTGCAGGACAACATGGGCAAGCTCAAGGAGTCGTGCCGCACCGCGCTCTTTGAACAGGTGAGCGCGAGCGGGTCACTAGGCGCTTCCATAAGCACCAGCAGGTATGGCACCAGCAGGTATGGCACCAACAGGTATGGCACCAGCAGGTATGGCACTAGCAGGTATGGCACCAGCAGGTATGGTACCAGCAGGTATGGCACCTGCAGGTATGGCACCAGCAGGTATGGCACCAGCAGGTATGGAACCAGCAGGTATGGCACCTGCAGGTATGGCACCTGCAGGTATGGCACGGCACCTGCAGGTATGGCACCTGCAGGTATGGCACCTGCAGGTATGGGTGGGTCACCAGGGGCAATTCACCCCTGGTGTTCATGACCATGACCATGACCATAACCATGACCATGACCATGTCGCTTGATGGTGGCAGTCAAGTTCCCCACGTGTCTTCCCAGTTGCTCCGTAATCCAACAGCCTCCTCGTTTCTACCTGCGCTTTGTCCCTCGTGTGGCACAACCCCAACCCACTCCACCGCGCATTGATTGCACCCATGGGTGGCAGCTGGTGCACGTGGCGGAGGACATCGACTTTAAGTTCCCCATGAATTGATTCCAGTTGCTGCCTAACGCAGCACCCTATGCACATATGAGTGCTCATTCTAACCAATTCCACCCGATTGCACCCCACCCCACCCCACCCCACCCCACACTACTCCACCCCACCTCACCCCATTCCACCCCACAGCTGGTGCGCATGGCGGAGGACATCGACTTCAAGTTCCCCATGAAGCGCGCCTGCGCCTCGGAGCTGCAGAAGTTCTGCAAAGACATCCCGCATGGTATGGTGTAGGGGGGGGAGAAAGGGATGGGGGGAGGAAGGGGGGTGCTGGTATGCTGGGGGTATGCTGGGGCTGGGGGTATGCTGGGGGTATGCTGGGGGTATGCTGGGGGCGGGGGGTGGGGTGGTGCCATGGTGCCATGGTGGCATGGTGGAGTGGTGGAGTGTCAGTCAGGCATAAACCGTTCTGCATGGTGTGCCATGGTGTCATTGTATGCTGGTCCCGGAATGGTGAAGGTGCTGACTAGCATGTGCGCTTGTCAAGACCTGATAATACCTTGACGCTATCCTCTTCACAAGAGGATTGGCTATAATTGGCCAACGTCGGAAGATCGCTAATATAATCTGCCTCCCACATTCCTTCCTTCGCGCACCATTCACCCCGTTTTCCTCCGCTGTCTGTCCTCCCCTCTCCTCCTCTCTCCTCCCCTGCCCTCCCTCTCATCCCCTCTCTTCCCTTACCCTCCCATGTTTGTCTATGTCTCTCCCTGCCCCTCCCCGGCAGGCCATGCGGCGAGGGTGAAGTGTCTGCAGGAGAGCATAGACAGTGCGGACATGGGAGAGGAGTGCCGCAAGGAGGTCAAGCGCGACATGGCCCGCTCAGCCGGAGGTGCGCCGCTACCTTTCTTCCTTCCGCCTCGCTGCTCGTTTGTTCCCTCTTGTTGGATTTTGTTTCTCACCGAGCTTGGTCTGTCTGCAAGAAGCATTTGCATTATCCGCCGTCCGCTTCCCATGTCTTTCCCTCCTCGGTCCTCCCCTCTTCCCCTCCTTGCGGCCTCTTCTTCCCCCCCTCCCCCATCCCCTCTTTCTCTCATATCACATTCACCATTCACTGTCCGATTAGATTCGTTCCCACTGCCCTATTTCCCTCTCACTCAGCTTGCCTCTTCTTTCCCATTGGCTTCTGTCGCCCTGTCCTCCCTCACCACCTACCGTTCCTTTTGAAACAACCGGTTGAACCACCATTGTTCCCGAAATGGGCACCATCTTCCCCTCTTTCTCCCCTCCTCTGCCTCACACCCATCACCCCCCCTTCCCGCCGCCCCGTTCAAAGTACCGTCTCAACTACCGCCTGCACTCTGCATGCCTGCCTGAAATCCATGCGTGCGTGCCTGAAATCCATGCATGCCTGCACGAAATCCATGCATGCCTGCCTGAAATCTAGACGCACTGCAGCCACGCCTGTGATGCCGCCATCACCCACGGCTCTCTCTTGCCCCCACCCCTTCTCTCTCATTCCTCTCCACTCTCCCCCATCCCCCTCTCCCCCATCCCCCCCTCCCCCAACCCCCTCAGACTACCGCCTCAACTACCGTCTGCACCGCGCCTGCCTGCCTGAGATCCAGAAGCACTGCTCGCACGCGTGTGACGCCGCCAGCACCAACGGCTCCGTCACGTGTGCGGGCACCGTGGTCAAGTGCCTGCAGGAGAATCAGGATCAGATCGAATCCGAATCCTGCAAGCAGGAGATCACGTCGTTCAGCATCCTCGAAGCAAAGGACCCGCTCTCTCTCGACGTGCCCCTGCAGGCGGCCTGCAAGGGCGACCTGCAGACGCTGTGCCCAGATGTGGGGAGGGACCATGGGAGGAGCTTGGCTTGCCTGAGGGCCAAGAGGGACCAGCTGAGTGCGGCGTGCAAGAAGGAGGAGATGCGGTTCAGCGTGATGGAGGCCTCGGATATTCGCATCACCCCTAGCCTTATGAATGCCTGTGGGCAAGGTATGATCTTGCATGGGTGAGGTATGCGGGCTTGCGGCTTTGAGTGTGGGGGTTGCAGTGTGGAGGGTGCTTTTGAGGCACCTCAAGAAAGGTAAGGGTTTTGGGCTTGAGACGTGCAAGAAGGAGGAGATGCGGTTCAGCATGATGGAGGCCTCGGATATTCGCATCACCTTTTTTTTATAAACGCTTGTAGGCAAGGTAGGAACTCGCATGTGGGAACGATAGGGGCTTGCACTTACATTCTCCCTCGGTCAATGGTGGGCATTCCTTTCCTTGGTTTCCTGGGGTGCCCTGATGATGTGGTGATGGTGTGCTAACTTTACTCGCATTTCGGTTTCAATCTTATCGTCAACCCCCTGATTCAGCCCCCTCCCCTTTCGCTCCCCAAACCCCTTTTCCGCCCCTTGCTGCTCCCACCTTTCTCATCATATTTTTGTTATTTTATAAATCTCAGAGACTCGAACTTGCAAGTGTAGGCAGCAGCATCAGCATGCGATAGCCGCTCGTGTGTTGCAATCCCCCACCACCCTTCCTCCTCGCTTCTCTCTCATGCCACTCCTGCTGCATGGCTTCTGCAAAAACCTCATCTATACTCCGCCCACTCTTCCTCCGCTCCTCCCCCACTCCTCCTCCCCTTCCCCACTACCCCTCTGCTCCTCCCGATCCCCTCCCTTTTCTCCACACCAGAGCTGCAGAGCTTCTGTCGTGACGTGCCGCCCAGGGGAGGGCGCGCGTTTAAGTGTCTGCAGCAGCACGTGAGCGACGTGGGCATGGGTGCGGCCTGCCAGGGCGAGGTGAACCTGCAGGTGGCCCGCAAGGCCGCCAACTACCGCCTGGACGTGCGGCTCAGGGAGGAGTGCCAGGGCGACCTGAAGCAATACTGTGAGGGCAAGGATGCGGGCAAGGAGGGGCACGCCGTGGTGCTCAAATGCATGGTCGAGAATTTCAAGAGCCTCGCGCCCTCGTGCCAGGGAGAGGTACGTTTGTTGGGTCGAGTGTGGTTGAGTGGGTTGCTGTTGTTGGATGTGCTAGGCGAAGGTGTGTGGAAAGGGTGGCTGGGCGAAGAGTTCAATGTCGTTGCCGCTGTTGCCATTGCGGAGATAGCTCACACAACGGGAGCTAAACTACGGGGAAGGCACGGGTGTTAGGGGTGATTTTGCGTTCCATAGTCATTTGGCAAGAGTTTCACTAGTAAAGATTGACAATAATGGTTCATAATGCAAAGCAACAATGGACTACATTAGATGTTAGCAAGCATGCAGGCCGCTGCCAGCTTAGTTGCGGAAGACGCGTCGAGCGTCTTAGACGCTGCGCGACGCTAGACGCAAGCTTAGGCAAGGTTAGATGCAGGATTAGACAGAAGCTCGGGCAAGCCAAAAAAAAGTTTGGGCAGCCTAAAAAAACTTCTATGGGGCATGGGGAGGGTGGTAGACATGCACGTATGTCACAATTGGATCAGTTTTTTCCCTGCCATAACTTTTTCCCTATGCTTAGAGTTCACAAATGTATTTACATCTCATGATACATAGTTCGGTTTCCATGTCTCTCTAGCAATAGCAAACTCGAAAGATATTGCTATTGCCCCATCCCTGCAATCACTAGGAGACGACATGGTTTCGTGAAGGAACTAGCAAAACCCTAAAGGGTTTTTTGAAAGAGAATTGGAAGATGAGGGGGATTTGTTCTCCCCAACCCCTTGGTGGTTAGCCATAGAGGTTGGGTTTTCTAGATACTAAGCGGTGCAGTGAGGCCTGTGTTCAAATTTGGTTGGAGGGAAGAATAAAATTTGCTTAGGGGGCTGGTTTCTATGGTCGAAATGGGTGGGAGGGGGTCCCGATGTCGCAAAATTGAATTTCACGTCAAAATTGAGAAATTCAGTTTTGCATGCGCTGTTTTTTCTTCGCGTTAAGCATCTAAATGTGCATCTTGCGTCTTTTCGCAACTAAGACTGCTAGCGCAGCACGGTCGACCGCGTTCCAGCATTGCATGGTCTGCAGGAAGGCGGTTGCACAGCGTTGCACCCGCAGGACAGCCGTACACGTGCTTCGCAAGTGCTCGTAGCTGGTTGGCGTGTTATGTCTCTTCACGTTCGCAGCGCAGACACCAAGCTGACCATGTGCCTACGACTGCACCTGATCCTCCACGTCGACCTCGGGAACCACACCGAGGCTGGCTTCTCAAGAACCTCCTGGCCGACTCTTGCACACTCCGTAGTGCCCGTCGCCCGGGTAACTGAGTCGACCGGGTAACAGAGTCGATCGGGCAACTAGGTTGGCGCCACCTGGTCGGCGTCCAGTCGCCCAGGTCGGCGTCCTCCCTCCTCCGAGGTCGACGATTGCCCTCGTCGACCCCTGGTTGAAGTCGGCCACCGGCTCCCGGCGTCGGTGGCTTCGCAGTGGCCCCCGTGCAGGTCGATCTGCGCCCCCAAATCGGTGACGCCCACTGCAGCAGATCGGCTGCACCTTCCGTACACCCGACCACGGCGTCGGCTCCACCCAAGCGAGGATAGGGTCAACAAACGACTCCCGTTGACAACTGCCGCTCCTGCCCAGTGTGCACATCTGTTTCCCCCTGCCCACCTCCCCCTAGGTGTCCTATGTGGTGCGCATGGCACTCCTTCAGTATCACCGTTCGGCAGATCTCACAACGTCCTGTCTCCTACGTCTGTTTCGTCAATATCCCCCTTCTCCCCCCTCCCCTCTTTATCCCCAGGTGTCCTATGTGGTGCGCATGGCACTCTTCCAGTACCACCATGCGGCTTATCTCACATCGCCCTGTGACGACGCAGTGGACGGCATCTGCCTGGCCCCTGGCGCCCCCAAGCCCAAGGAGATCAACGGCGCTGTCATCGGTGTGTTCGGGCAGTGCCTGCTGTCCGCACAGCCCGATAAGCTATCGGAGGGGTGCCGCGCGCTGGTGCAGGTGGCAGGGAAGGAGGGGGCGTATGTGAAGGGCGGGCTGGACCAGGCGAAGCTGGATGAGGCTCTGGCGAAACTGAAAGAGGTGAGTTGGTTGTTGAGTTGGGCACAGTGATGTGAGAGGTGAGCACAGTGATGTGAGAGTGAGGCGAGTGCGATCACACAACACATCTGCATGGTTTCATATCTTGATGTCATGCAGTGTCCATTGATAGCTTGCAGCCCCTTATTCCATCCATCTTATGTCATCTCATTTCATATCACCCTTCACCCCAACCACCTGTGTTCACCAGCTCCCTGCGGCAGCCGCAGCAGACGGGTCGACTGGCAAGTCTGGGCTGGTGATTTCAGGCTGGCTGGCCTTCGCAGCTCTGGTGGCTGTCGTGGTTGTTGCTGTTGCGGCAGGCTTTGGCATTTACCACAAGTATTTCAGCCCCACTCGCAACTACACCTTGGTCGTCAAATCAGCTCCCCCAGGCACCGTTTAGGTAGTGCCCGGTTACGAACACCAAATACGGTACTAGATGATGTGTAAGGCGAGAGTTTTGTGCTCTTAAACTCGTCCTAGGTTGCCCTTACTGTAACTTATTTGTATGGCACACAGACAAGAAAGCATGGGATGATGCTGTAACCATGGATTTTTGTTACCACCGACGGTTTCTTATAGTCAGCTGAAACAATCGTTCTGACGTCCCTATCTGCATGATTCCCCAAGGTGTCCCCCTTGAAACGAATCTAGGGTTCCCCGCACATCCCGCTCACTTGGCCGGAGCACAAACGCATAGCGATGGGTTGGAGCTACACCCAGTTCAACCACCAGTGGCGGCAAGGTGACAAGAAGGATGTCCTAATAGCGCCGTGGCGCCTCTCCTCTGCAGACGAGAATTCTCCCCACTCCCCCACTGCGTTTCCTCTCTCTGCCTATCTCAGAAGTTCGTCTGAGTGCGGCTCAATGAGATTTTCTTCGTTGTACCACGGTCAATGTAATGTCTGCGCTGGTTGGGTAGGGTACTCAGCAAATATGAACATGTGGGACACGTCCGTGCAGCTGCTTTGATCTCGTCCGAATATACGGTTTCCGTATGCGCCCCTTTCCACCAATCAGTTCCATTCCTTTTCCAGGGGCTCAGAATATCAGGGCGTTCTACTCTGTTTAACCTGTGCTTTTAACTAGTTTTCACCACCGCTCTAAACAAAAAGCTTCCCCTAAATACCTTGACAACTTAATTGCAAATCTTGCCCTCCTTTCCCTCCCGCGCAGCCAGCTTCCTGTCTAGTTCTACAACGTTTGTTTTAAACGCCGACTGGGCTTGTGCTGGTAGGGTCACGGAAACAGTGCCGGCTATATTTGACACTGCTAGTTTCGACATGGGGAGAAAAAACCTGCAATTTCTTGGCTATGCTGCGCGTGGCACACTGCAGGTAGGGTGAACTTATTCACAACTCGGATCCGTCAGGTTCCTTCAAAACGAATCGAGAGCCCTTCCGAATGACGCGCGCCTTGGGGCTGGTGGGAACGCGTTACTCCTGGCACGGGGGTGAATTTTCCTCAACTTCACATGGCAGGGAGGAGTGACACCAACATTCGTTTCAATTCACCAGTGTTTTGCTCGGTGCAGTACAATCCAAAGCGGTATTACAGAGTGTGCGCAGTTTATTGTGTGGAAACACACTGAACCACGGTGAAGGACGAGTGGAGGGCATTCACGACATTTCTGTAGAGGCGCTGGATGTGGGTTTCACGGATGCATCTGTTTGTGTGTAGCTGATGAGCCAAGTAGAACCACAGAATATGAAAAAACCGCCATCATCTTTCGGCTAGACAGGTGTCGCGTCGATTGGGCACTGTGGGTGCTAACTTACCATGCAAGATCTCCTATAATGGCGTGCGTGTTCCACCAAATTAGTCTTAGGAGTTCGTAACATCAAGCTCTCGTGTCAACACGATTGACCATTGACTTTTTGAGTTAATCAAATGTCACGGCAGTCTGCAGCGTGCTCTCGTGTTTCTATTACGATGATCTTCAGAGTATGAGCTGCATCGCTGGAGAAAGCCGATGAGATACGCTCGTTAACTTCGACCTTCGAAACGTGTCGCAAGGTAACATTAGGCTCATGAAGTTTACTCTCGGTTTACTCTCGGCCCAGGACCATAGTAGTGACGCTTAGTAGGTACTTCGGAGTGACGTTGCGAACATAGTAGCTTGGGTTTTGCCTTTGCTCAGTACGTTGGATTTCTGCGACGAATTACTGGCTTCGTAGAACTCGCCGCATTCACAGCCATCACAATTCGACACATCGACACCCCATTTTTGCCCAGTCGGCAGAAGCAACCACAGACTCGTTTCGTTGCGCGCGTTCGCCCCAGCACCAAAGAACCGTCCGGAACCACGCGGCACCGCAGCCATCATGGGAGTCCACGAAAGCCCCGAGGAGCAGCTACTAACAGTGGTAAACCGGCTCCCTGCACACCCGAAATCCGTTCACAACAAATCCCAAGGAGTTCCGGGCCAATGGAAAAGTGGCTCAGTCTCGAAGCAGACGTCGGGCTTGTGCTTCGGTTTGAGGGAGTGGAGAAACGCGGAGCGCGGGGGCGCGGGCGCGGCGGATCCGTCGACTGTTACTGGGCGCTGTTCCGCCTTGCGCTGCCGTCCATTCTGCTGCAGAGCGGCGCGCCCCTGGCGATCACGGTGCAGACGGCGCTGCTGGGCCGCAAGGACACGCAGCTCGTCGCCGCGTGGGCCGTCGTTGCGAGTGAGTTTGGGGAGAGGTGATGTGTGTGAATCAGATGCTGTGTGGGGGGCCGCATGGGGGTGCGTGTGGGGCATCGAGTTGCGCAAGGCGACGCTGGACCGCAAGGGCACGCAGCTAGTCGCTGCGTGGGCCGTCGTTGCGCGTGAGACTGACGCACAGGAGTGAGCGTGATGAGAGTTGACGTTTGACTCGGATGCTGTGTGCTGGGCATGGAGATGCGCGCGCGGGGCGTGGGGATGCACGCGGGGGCCACGGGGATGCCCGCGGGGGCACGGGGATGCGCGCCGGGGCCATGGAGATGCGCGCGTGCGGTGGGGGATGCACGCGTGCGGTGGGGGATACGCGCGTACGGCATGGGGATGCGCGCCGAGACCATGGGGATGCGCGGGGGAGAGCATGGGGACGCGCGTGGGGCACGGGGGAGCGCGCACGAAGCATGGGGATGCGCGCGGACAGGACTGCACCAGCAGAGCGACGAGCTTGCAGGGGCAGAGCAGAGGCAGGCAGGGCCCTCTCGTCTGATTTTGAGGCGCCTCAAAATCGCCCACTGGCCGGCACGGCTCGCGCCTCGCCTGCTTTGCCGCTTGTACCTTTGTAGGCACCGAGCTGATGAGTTGATTGTGGTGGCAAGAGCCGGTTGGGTTGGCTTCCTCTCCCTCCCACCTTTCTCATCCTCGTTCCTCATCACCCTTTCTCATCCTCGTTCCTCATCACCCTTTCTCATCCTCGTTCCTCATCACCATTTCTCATCCTCGTTCCTCATCCTTCTCATTTCACCGACCCTCCCCCTTCCCTTGTCCTCACTCTCCCACTCTCCCTCCCCCATCCCCTTTCTCTCTCCGCATCTGCTCCTCATCGCAGCGGCCACGAATGCAGCGACAGTCATTTTCAACTTCCTTGTTGTCGGCGTCACAGCTAAGGTGAGGTGGCAGCTAAGGTGGGCGGCAGGTACGGACGGATAGCTGCCCTCGGATGAAGTTGCCAACCTCGGATTTGCACGGCGCTTTGAGCATTCTATAAAAATCTACCAAAGGTTGCTGTGGGCACTGCTGTCCAATAGCTTGTTACCACCCCCAACTCTGCTTCCCTCTGCTGTGCAACTCTCTGCGCTGCTCGTCTATGCAGGTCACCAAGGTGGTAGCAGTGGGCGCGTGGGCGCAAGTGGGGGTGCGAATCCGCCTCGCACTCGCCATGGCTCTAGCCACCAGTGCACTGGCCGTGGCGCTGCTGCTGTCCTCTCAGGGGCTGCTGTGGGCGCTGCTAAGTGACTCGCCCTCCGTGCTGCAGTACGCTAAGAGTTACTTTTACTTGAGAGTCATGGGCGTGCCGCCGCAGCTGCTGGTCATGTGCACTTCCGGCGTGCTGCAGGGATACAAGGTACAAAACACTTCAAGCTATGGGTATGTGTTACACGGTAGTAGTATGGTAGTTCATTTCAGACTGGAGAGTCAAGGGAGTTAAGGGCACAAGGATTGACGTGAAGTGCTCTTATGAAGCGACCCCATCTTGACTTTTTTTTTTTTTTTTTTTTTCTTGTTCGTTTTCAAAAGCTCGGTATCTGCCCTTCGCTTCCCGTTTCTCCCCGTTCTCCTCCATTCCACCCTCTCAGCACGTGGCGCTGGTGGCATGGCTGCAGGCAGCACGAGCGCTGCTGGACGTTGCCGCATCCTACCTCTCCCTCTACGTCCTTGACTGGGGCATTGTGGGTGTTGGCATCGGCACCTTCCTCGCATCCTGCACCGTCGCAGCTGTTTCCTTAGCCTGTATCCTCCTCCTGCCGCCTCCCCAGGGCAAAGGGAAGATTGTTGTTTTCCCACCCATCCTGTCGTTTCTGGCTCGGAAGGTCGCCGTACCGCAGGTTCTGCTCTGCCGAGCCTTGAGCCAGCGGGTTTCCCGGACCTGCTCAAAGGTCCGGGTGGGTGGTGCAGCGGCGTTGGCGGACGCTCAGGTGCTGCTGCTGGATGGGAGGGAGAGGGAGGGGACTGGGAAGGAGGTGGGCGGGATAGAGGAGACAGTACTGGCGGTTCTTGAAGGGAGAATGTTGAAGGCGGGTAGAGATGTTGCTTCAGTGCATGTGAATGATCAACGGGCACATGGGTGTGCGCGTGAAGATGAGGCGCGATCGAGGGACGAGCAGGCAACCAGAGTGGGAGGTCGGGAGGAGGAGGGAAGGGCTGTAGAGGGAG